CAAAAGTGTACATGCAGAAAATGACTTTATAAAGAGAGTGAGGACTGTGACAGCATCTTGAGAGCATTCAATCCAACTAACTAGAAAAAAGAAAAGTGCTCAGGGTAAACGAAATTGGAAAATTAGTCCACTGTTAGAATATCACTTGTGAGTTGTCCCACATCGTTCATATATGGAAAATAGACTCACCTTATAAGACTAATGGGCTACTCCTCCTTCCACCAATTGGTTTTGGGATGGAACCCCATTTGGGCTTCATATGGGCTTTTCCCGTTTTTTCATGGTGCGGTTCATGGTAGTGGGTCAGCACCAATTTTCCCCCAGTTTCTGTCATGGTATCAGAGCCGGTTCTATCTTGGACCGTGTGATGACGTACCCATTGTTTATCCCCCACGTACCCGTTTATGGGAGCCTGTTTGTAGTAGGGCTTGGGGCACCCAGTCCAGTTGGAGTTTCTGTCATGGTATCAGAGCCGGTTCTATCTTGGACCGTGTGATGACGTACCCATTGTTTATCCCCCACGTACCCGAGTTTCTGTCATGGTATCAGAGCCGGTTCTATCTTGGACCGTGTGATGACGTACCCATTGTTTATCCCCCACGTACCCGTTTATGGGAGCCTGTTTGTAGTAGGGCTTGGGGCACCCAGTCCAGTTGGGCTTGGGCTTTCGAAGGACTCACAAGTGAGGGGCGTGTTAGAATATCACTTGTGAGTTGTCCCACATCGTTCATATATGGAAAATAGACTCACCTTATAAGACTAATGGGCTACTCCTCCTTCCACCAATTGGTTTTGGGATGGAACCCCATTTGGGCTTCATATGGGCTTTTCCCTTCTTTCATGGTGTCCTTCATGGTAGTGGGTCAGCACCAATTTTCCCCCAGTTTCTGTCATGGTGTGTAATTTTATTATTTTTATTTTACATTCGTGAGAAAAATATATTTTGGACTTCTACTGAATACCAACTCTCTTTACGGTGATATTTTATTTTGTCTTCAACTTTCTCCCTTCTATAATTCTAATTTTTAGCTTAAATCACTTGTTATCACTCTTCAACTTCCACGTTTCTCTCCATCCATACTTCACACGCCTCTTTTTACTTTTGTTTCCTTTGTAACTCATGTACAATTTTGTTATTTTTTTTTTTTTTAAATAACAAACTGTTATAAATTAATATATGGTTCATATTGTTTTAGTAAATTTATTTTTTTGTATATTTAATAATTCCAAAATTCATAATAGTTCATTCTTTAACTATATTTTTCTCATTAAGTATTATTATCCCTCATTTTTTTTTNGTTTTAAGGGATCATGAAATAGATAATCAGTTACAATCAATGTTGATTCATGTGTTATATAGCAAGTTTAGCTGTTTATACTTTATAGTAATGTTATGGGGTGTATTTATTTAGGATTGTTAATGATTTATTAAGATTTTAGAAATCTGGTGTATTTAATTTAGACTTTTGAAGACTTTTAAGATATTCATTTGAGATTTTAAAAAGTCTTACAGAATTGTATTATATTTAACTTATTTGAAATTAGAATTTGTTAAGACTTTTTAATAGTCGTTGGGATTTCAAAACAAAAACCTTATACGAAATATCACTCAAAATCACACTTTCTAGCTTGTAAGACTTTGTTAAAAAAAAAAAACATAATAGTTTTTGAAAATTTTAAATTGATTGATTGATTATGCAATTGACATGATGACGTGATACCGGCGTAAGTTAAGATATTTTGCATATCAATAAATGTTTTTGTAGCATGTTATTCATAAGTTATTGAATATCATAACGGATTGTTGTTATAACAAAGAAAGTGATTTAAAAATAAACCATATTCTAATTATATATATATATATATAACCTAAGACCAATTGTTATAGTTATTATTTTATACATTGTTAAATAATTATCTACAATCCAATTTAAGTAATCTTGCAATAATCATTATAATTATAAAAAAATATTTCCTTATGCTTTTATGAGAGTATTTCCAAGAAAATATATAATACTAAAAAAAAAGATAAAAAAATATAAAATTTTCTACAAAATTTAGTTTTTTTAGTTATGCAATTTTAATTAAATGCATACTTTAATTTTTATATATAGATATATAGATGCCGTCTATTTATTAAAAAACTAGTATTTGATATTGTGCATTTGCACAGATGTAAAACACGTTTTTGTTTGTATTTAGTAATTAGACATGTACTTCTATCATATAAAAATTATTACTTTTTATTAAGTTATTTTTATCATTCAAAATTAATTGAGATTTAAATTTTATTGTAACCATGCAACGTTTACATTAGTAACATGAATAAAATAATTTATATATTTGTGGCATATATTAAGAAAATTAACATAAACAAAAAAATTAAATTACTGGTGTTTCTGATTTTTTGAGAAAAAAAAAATATGTCAATCATATTTTTCTTCCAACAATGCAACCAAATATAGCGGTTACAGCTCTGAATGTGCAATCAACTTTAAGTTCCAACATTAGCCGTTACACATTTGAATATTTTGCTACCAAATTTAGAATTAATTTAGTAATTGATCCAAAAAATAAATAATAAAAATATATATTTAGGTGTAACGGTTTTAGCAGATTAGTGAGTAATTAATTAAAAAAAATGCAACTCCTTTTGGAGAGAAATGAAAATAAATTTTATTAAATGTTTTATAAACGCATCAGCTAGTAATTATATATATATATATATATATATAGATTATTGTAAACATATAAAATTAGCAAAATATATTACTAGGGCAACCAACGGGCTAGTAATATATTTTTCTAATTTTAATACCAGTTAATTTGTATTAAAATTGAGATTATTATTTAAAAGAAAAAGAAAAAAAAAGGTTTATATTTCAAATTCTTCTTCCAAAAGGTCAGCTCAACCAGTGATGTTGATGAGGTTTATAGAGACGAATAAGCAAACCATTTTGACGCACAAATAAATAAACAATAAAATAGAAAATAATGTCACAAGAGTTGAGCTATTATTAAAGGTGTGTTTGTAAAAGAATTTACTCAAACCAAATTAATTCATACTCAAAATCTAGCTCAACTTTAACTCAACTCCACTATCCTCAATATTATCAATATAATTAAATAATAACAACCATTCATTTTTACACATTATATCAACTTTAATTCACTATTCATCAACTCACATAATTTTAACTAACTATCACTTCATATCATCTCTCTCATACTTTTACATCCAATCAACTTTAATTATTTTATTTTAAATATTATTGTAATATATTCTCAAAATCCCACTAACAACTAATTATACTATTTTTTTTTTCTAAATTAACCATAATTAACCAAAAAAACTCACTTTGAGTTAAATTAATAACCATAATTACAGACTTACACAGTCTCTTGCTATTTTTTGATAAGCGGTTACCAACAATCTTTTAGATTGATTTCCACGAGGAACTCAAAAAACATAACGATAAATACCGATAAAAAAAAAAGAAAAAGAAAAACATAATGATAAAACTGATGATATATTGATATCTTGACAATGGACAACCCATAAGACCCTAACAAAATTGTGAAAAATTAATAAGAAAATAAAATTGTGATGATAATTAATTAAGAAGAAAATAGATGAAAGAAAGAAGAATTGAAGGACCTGTTTTTTTCTGCGAGCAAGATGCCAAATGCGCCAGCACATGTTCTGGAGCCTTGAGCTCCTTTGTCGAGTATTCCTTGTGGCCACCACTTTGATCCATGTCCTGTGTAGATCACTCTCCTCCACCCCACTCACAACTTCCTCCACAAAGTATTTTGTTGGATTAAAATCACCCTTTTCCCTCACCCCATTAACATTAACATTACTATTAATGTTGTCTTCACTGTCCAATATGGCCTCAAGATACCCATTTATCCACTCGTTCCCCGCCATCTCTCTCTCCCTCTCTCTCTCTCTCTCTCTCTCTCTCTCTCTCTCCTCACAATAAATCAAAGCGTGAAAGGCTTTAATAGGAGTAAAATTAATGTGGCTTTTATTTATTTATTCGATCGAGGGTAAAGATATAAGAATATGCTAAGTACATGCAAAAAGAAGCATATGTATTGTTATCACTTATCTATGTATATATTCTCTCTATTATTTATTCCAGGCGGTAATTAAAGTTGATGATGAATATACCATACCACACTATACCTGGTAAGAATGGAGATATGTGAATCGCATCAACATGCATGTTTTGTGTGATGTGTGTTTGCGCTTGCGTTGCGTGTAGAAAGAAGGAAAGAAACAAACAAACAAACAATGGGGAGCTGAGGAATAGGACAAAGGGCATATGAGAGAGAGATGAGAGCGAGTTTGGTTATGGTTTTTGGTTTGGTTTCAAAGGGAATCGCCATATGGTAGTGGGAGTGGTCCCACGGTCGACACGTGGCAATCCAAGCGGGATTTAATTAATTTTTGAGATTCACAAATTAATAATACATGAAATTAATAATACATGATGATGATGGGCATGGGAAATGGGGCCGCCTACTCGGCTGTTTAAACAATGTGCCAAGCTTTTGCGTGCGTCAGATATGTCAAATAAAATTACTCAACTGCTATTCATTGTTCCCTTTTACGTTCCTCTATTTATTCTTTTGCCCTTAACCTTTTTTTTTGGATTTTATCTCTCTAAATTTCAGAACTTCAACGAACGATTCGAGCATAAAAAAAAAATCCAAAAAAATGTCAAAAAAATTCTACGGTATCGGCAAGGACTCTTCTCCAAGAAGGTAAATTTTTTTTTTTTTTTGATCGGAATATTTATACTCTTCTCAGAGTATAAATATACTCAATGAGATCGAGAACAAACTCTCGTCTCTGCTCAAATAAAATAAAATTAATCTCCAAAAATCGATTCACACGAGCAGCTCTCAAAGCTCTTCCAATTCCTCTAAACAAAAATAAAAATAATCTACTGATCACCAATCTCCCAAACGTGAAAGGAGCTGTTTATCTCTTTCATAACTATGGTATGTTAACCTTGTTTTATTTCTTCAAAAATTAGCCATGTCCACATTCTTGTGCTTGTGGCCGCTTATCCCCTTTGCAAGTCATCATTGCATGATAAGTTAGTCACACATCTCTCTGCTACTCCATATTGTAATTATTCCACACGCCTTGTGACTTTTTTGTAAGTATAATCCTTCTTTCTTTTCATGTGCTACTCCATATCTTGTAGGTTTCTTCTCAATCTCCTTTAAATAAAATAAACTGATTAAAAATCTTAACCAAAAATAATCAAGGGAATTAAATAAAATATAGCTAGATGAGGTGCTAGTTGACGAGAGTAGGGCAGTGGTTAATAGAAAGTTAGAGCTGTGGAAGGACACGTTAGATTCGAAAGCCTTCAGACTTAGTAGGACGAAGGCTGAGTACATGAAGTGCGCTTTCAACATGGCTACACATGATGGTGACGTTAGCCTTGACGGGTAAGTGGTGGCAAAGAAGGAGACTTTCCGGTATTTAGGATCGATGCTACAAAAGGATGGGGGCACTGATGTAGATGTTAGACATAGAATTGCAACCGGTTGGTTGAAATGGCGTCAAGCTTCGGGCGTTCTCTGTGATAAGAGGGTGCTACAAAGGCTAAAAGGTAAGTTCTATAGGACGACGATTCGCCTGGCGATGCTATACGGTGCTGAATGTTGGCCTACAAAAAGGCAATATGTCCAACAACTAAGTGTAGCAGAGATGCGTATGTTGCGTTGGTTTTGCGGACACACAAGAAGGGATAGAATCCGGAATGAGGATATTCGAGATAGGGTCGGGGTGGCTCCAATTGAGGAGAAATTGGTTCAACATTGGCTGAGGTGGTTCGGACATGTCCAACGGAGGCCTCCTGATGCACCGGTGCGTAGGGGAGTTCTTCAGCGGGTCGATGATGTAAAGAGAGGTAGAGGTCAGCCTAAACTCACTTTGGAAGAGTCGGTTAAGAGAGACCTTAAAGATTGGTATATCTCCAAAGATTTAGCGGTGGATAGGAGCGCTTGGAGGTTAACAATCAACGTGCCAGAACCGTGACTTTTGCTCCTTTCTCTTTTGCTCCAATCCCTTCCTTTTGTTTTGAGCCCCTTTTTGTGTCTCTCTTACCATTGGTTCTCTTGGGTTTCACCTCTAGCCTACCCCAACTTGCTTGGGACTAAAAGGCTATGTTGTTGTTGTTGTATAGCTAGATGATATAAACTTCAATTTAACTTTCAGTATGGTTCTAGTATACTATGTAGGTTTCACGCTTTAGTTTGGAGTTTATCGATTTAATGTCAAACATCACAAATACTTACAATCGCATAACTATTTCGCACTTTATCAATTATCTTCGCCTATCGGTCGAATATCTAATCGCATAATTTTTCGCACTTAATCAATTATGTTCACCTGTTTGTCGCATAGTTATTTCGCACTTTATTAATTATCTTCTTCTGTCTGTCGCATAGCTTTTTGCATCAATTATTTTCACCTGTTTGTCGCATAATTTATCGCATAACTATTTCGCAATTTTTCAATTATCTTTGTCTTTCTGTCGCATATCGTTTTGCATAAATATTCCGCACTTTATTAATCATCCTCGCATCTCTGTCACATAGTTTTTCGCATAATGTTTTCGCACTTTATTAATCATGTTCGTCTGTTTGTCACATAGCTTTTCGCATCAATTATCTTCGCCTTAGCATATTTTATCGCATAATTGTTTCACACTTTATAAATTATGTTCGCTTGTTTGTCGTAAAGCTTATCGCATAATTATTTCGCACTTTATCAATTATCTTCGGTCTGCATGTCATATAGTTTATCGCATAATAGTTTCACACTTTTTCAATTATATTCGTCTGTTTGTTGCATAGTTATCGCATAACTGTCTCACAGTTTATCAATTATCTTCGTTGTGTCGCATAATTTTGTCGCATAATTGTTTCGCACTTTATCAACTATGTTTGCATGTTTTTCGCTTAACTGTTTCGCAATTTATCAATTATCTTTGTTTGTATGTTGCATAGTTTATCGCATAATTGTTTAACATTTTATCAATTACCTTTCGTCGTTTAATATTTTATCAATTACCTTTCGTATGTCTATTGCAAGATTAGTGTATAATTTTTTTGCATATGAAGTGAAAAAATTAACTTTTTATTTGACTATATGTGAAACTTATGTCTTCAAACGTGAGAATAGTTATTTCCTCTATTTTAATTAATTTATAAATCACGTTCCCGCGCCTCAAAATCTGCTTGCCTCAGCATTTGAAATTCTTCAAAATATGATGCACTCCTCGCCGGAAACCTGCGCTCAAGGCCACCGCTCCTCCATCGTCCTCCCAACCGCAGAGGGCGGCTCGATCTGCCTCCTCTGTCTCTCCAATCTTCTGACGAACCCAAGGTCGCCCACCGTCCACGTGTCCTACGCCCTTTCCCAGCTCTCTCAGGCCATCTCCCAGCCGCAATTCCTTCAGTCTCTTCTCACCTACCACTCGCATTTCCTCATTTCCCCGCTTGTTGGTGTTCTATCCAGCTTTGATGACGAGCCCCTTGCAAAACAGACAATCGATTTGATTCAAACGTTGTGTGATTTTGAATCCGATTGTCAGGATGTGCGTAAGGAGTTTGTAGCCAGGGTTTCTGATTGGCTTTCTGGAGGCTCGTTGGCTTGGAGCCATCGCCAGTTATACATGGTAATTGCTGACCCACTGTTATTTTTCCGTTAAATCGATGAGTTTCGGGCATTTTTCTCCATGGTAGCTGCATATGTTCGAGTTTCACCATGGTGAAGTTTGTAGTTTTTCGCACTTACTGATATACACTTGAAAGTAATCTATAGTGCAACTAATGGTTGATGTGGTCTGTAGTTGGATCCTGTGTTGGTTGACAATCATCGTGGAGGAGGCTCTGAAACTTGTACTTTATGCACTTGAATTTTTGGTCAATGGTTGATTACATGCCTTTGGTGTTTTCTGTTTCGAATTAATTATGAAAGCAAGCCTTTGTGTTTTGTGTTTCTAATTGATCGGAAAAGCAACTGTGAAAGCTCTAAGTATAATAATCACATACCCCTGTCATAATAATGGAGGCACCACTTTTTCTTTTTTTTTTTATTATTATTATTATTATTATTATTATTATTATCCTGGTGATACTATTTCCAGAAGTTCAGTCATTAACCATTCATCACTATGTCTAATAATTTGATATTTAATTATGTGGCATTTAAGTAAAAAAAAATGTATTAACACCATTACTTGCGGTCATGCTTCTTTCGGGAGGGAAATTACCATGCCATCATTACAGGTGTTCATGATTCTGTTAGAATATTATCAAGTCAAAGGAGTTGAAGTTTCTCATGCATGGGCTGGTGGGGTGATGCCTACAAAGGCTCGTTCCAGGTTTTTAGTAACAGTTACTTCATGCCACCCAATCTTCACTTTTAGAAAATAGTCATCCAAAGTTGCTAGAAGAGTATTTGTGGGCACTAGTAAATCAATTCAAATAACCACTAGCTATCATTGTCGGGCATCGAAATGAACTTATTCCGTCTCCACATTCTGACCCTTCGTGTACTTATTTTATGGCTTTATGCAGCTTCACTGCTTTGGTGTACTGTTGGATAATCAGGACTTTCACTTGTATGATTGCATTAAAAACAAAGATGCCCTGATATTCAACCTTGTCACTGGGCTTCAATTGTCGAAGTGAGTTGAATTAATGCTCAATCATGTTATTCCATACACCTCGCACAAACCTAATCATAATTTACTTGTTTTCCTGGTTTGCAGTGATGAAATCCAAGGGGAGATTATGTTTGTCTTGTATAGAACATCCCTCCTTCACTACACATATATGGATGATTGTGGCACCGACGTTTTGCATAACTACTGCCCCAAGCTTTTGCACATCTCGCTTGACATCCTCATGAAAA